CCCACCCCCCACGCAAAAAAAAAAAAAGCTCATACACACACACACAATATTCAATTAATTAACACAATCAAATTGAAGAAGGAAAAACCCCAAAAATCAAAACAAGTTTAATTAAAAAATATCATAAAAAATTGCCAATTTAATTTTAAATTTTTGCGCCAAATACCAACATAACAACATAGTTTTTCATTGTCTCTAACTTTTTTTTGGAATAATTATCTCTAACTTTTTCTATAGAAGACATTTACAAATACAAGAGTTAAGTATAGCATAATGGGCTAGTCCCTTAAAACGAGACTTCAAATTCTCGTTGAGTTATATGCCAACATATATATATATATATATATATATATATATATTTGATGGATAATTGATTATTTATGTGTTAGTATCTCATTACTTGTCTAATGATCACACAAGATTGTCCTCGAAATGTCCCATCCCGTCCCTATAATTTTAATACGTGTAATTTTTATTTAAAATTAAATTTTTTTATATTGATAATTTTAATGATACAAAGTAAGTAGTATAGGGTAATCTCTTTCTTTATGATATATTAATTATATTAATATAATTTATTTTTATACATTAGTGATTTTACAACTGGATAGAATCGAACAGTCGAATCAATCTGACTGTCAACCTGTCTAGATTCCAATTTGGTCAATACATGAAAATTGTTTTGGAGATTGAATCGAATTGGGCCGTTTCGGATCGAGAATTGAATCTGGTTTTCAAGGATTAAACTGTTAAAAAAACTTTTTTATTGATTTTTTTTAGGAAATGACCAATTTTTTTAATCATTTGATGTTATGTTGTATCATGTGGCTTGTTAAGTCATGATAAACTTAAAATATTTAATTTTTTAAGTTAAGTAACAATTTCATATTTATTTCTTATATTTAGATTATTATTATATATATATATAATTTTTTTTAATTTAATTATTACGTTACGGGTTTGACCGTTGGTTCAACCCGATTAAATCATGTAAACTGTGAACCGCTGACTTTTTCGGTACAATATTCAATCCGTTTCTAAAGACATTGCTATATATATATATATATATATATCTATTTAATAATTTTTATTTATATTATATTTCTTACTTTATTTTCAGAAGAATCACTAGCTTAATATATCTTAACTAAAGAAGAAGAATAATGACTTGATGTTATACCTGATTTATTTGTTATCGTTGCTCTTATAGTATAGTCTATAGATCATTTGTAATTTCAATTATAATGTGTTATGTCTTATGTATACTTGACTTTAAGTTGTACAATTATAGTTGTGATTGATATAATTCAATAATTGTGATTTATGTGCTCATGTTATTTTAGTTTTAAACTTAATAAGTTTTGTAATTTAACATTTTAATTAATGTTGTTATTCAGGATTTTTTCTTGTGTTATCAACTTCATTGAGATGATAGGATGTTTTGATCTTGCCCTGGTGCTGTTCGATTCTTAACAGGATAGGATGGGATAAAACACAAGGCAAAAGTTTAATCCTAATCATTTTTTGATATGGGACATAAGACAAGGGTGTCCTGATCCTATCCTGTCCCAAGAACACCCTTAAATTTTTCAATTTAGGATACTCATTTAGACTAATTTGGATGCCCATTATGTAAAATCGTTATTATTAATGATGGCCTCATGCCTACTTTAGAGATGTCTTTGATATTTTTTATTGGCTAAGTTATACATTTTTCCCTTGAACTTTGAATTATGTACATATAATCTCCTTAATTTTTGAAACTTTACGATGAACTCTTCTCAACTTTTATATTTATGCAAATAACTATACATGATTAATTTTATACATTAATTATCTACACATAACTTAAAATTTAGGGAGGTTAGCCATATATCAATCAAAGTTAGGGAGCATTAAATGCACACAAAAATAAAGTTTAAGGGGGTATATAATTAATGGTTATCAGTTGTTTGTATAAACCTAAAAATTCAGGGAGATTCATTATTAAGTTTTAAACATTAAAGAGGTTATTTATACATGATCTAAAGTTTAAGAGAGTTTTATATAATTTAACTTTTTTTTTAATACAATGCATGTCCCAAAACTCAAACTTAGAATTCTAAGATAAACTAATTTGATTCCCTCAATCAGTCAAACCAAGCGCATCTCAATATACTATTTGGTTATTCAACATTAGAAGATGAGTTATTAACTAATTCCCATAAGATTTTTTGGTGAGAAACAGAGAGAGAGAGATATATATATATACACGCACACCCAAGCCATCGGTTTAGTCCTTGAAATTTAATTTTAATTAATTAAGTCCCTTAAGTTTCATAACCATATCCTTTTGGTTTAAAATAAAAATAACATTATAAAAAGTAACTGTGTATGATTATAAAATTTTATGGAATTTATTGATAAAATTAAATTTCAAAACAAAATCAACTATTACAATACCTGAAACCATAAGAAAGACTCAAGTATGGATAAGTTTCTTAAGCAAACATTGCAAGTCATGTGAGAAGGGGAGAAGTATGTCTTTTTACATGGCAATTCTAAAATTTTGTCTGAACCTAAATCCACCCAAAATAAAAAGTCACAATAATTGCAACTCCAACAACGTGGCAAATAAATCATCTAAAGGCTTAAAAAACTTATAAAGAGGAAGGATACGTACCTTAAAATGTTATCTCCTCTTCATGTTTTAAACACTTTCAAAAGTTTTAAGAGTAGCAATGAAAAGATGAAAATAAAAAGAGATAATGAAATATTTAATCTTATAAATTTATTTACGCTATCAATTTAATCTCTTATATTAAATTTTTATTGATTTGATTTCTTATATTTATTTTAGTTGTTGATTTAGTTTTTATTGTTTGAAGAGAAGGTAAAATATTAAAATTCGGTGACATGGTTAACAAAATATTGAGTTGACAACCGTGTAGATGTATGAAAAGAAACTTAATTAGTTAAAGAGGAAAAAATGAAAAGAGTAATAAATTTTAAAAAACAAAAGAATAAAAAGCATCTCAAGGAACTATATATTGATAAAAACTGAATTAATTTGAGGACCAATTTATTCTCATTCCACCACGCATGCATATTAAGTCATCAATATATTTTATATATTAGATTAATTTGAGAGCCAACTCATTATTCAAAACTTAAAGGACAAACGTGATAACTTAATTTTGACAAAAAAAAAACATGATAACTTAAGAAAGCCAAAAGAAATTAAATTAATAAAAATTAAATCTAAGTTATCAAATTGATAAATGAGACTAATTTAAGGGATAAAAAAAATTCCATTATCCCAAATAAAAATGTTTGGCAACTAGTTCACTTGGGCATTAAGAAAGCCTATTTTCATAATAATGAGTTATATATGACGAAACTTGTTTGCCTCGTACATCTGAATGGAGGGGGACATATCTCCTCATGCGGTACTTCAAGACATTTTAAATTTTTAATTTCAGATTATCTAAATTTTCATCATAAGATGAAAGTTTAATTCAATGATCTCCATACACGTGTCGTGAAGGACAACACAACGTTTTGTTCTGCAACTTCTGAATGGTAAAGTTTATTTTTCAACTTTCCTCGGCGCAATCCATTATGTGACTGGGCTATCAGAGACCATTTGGTGTGGACTTATGAGGCCCATTTATGTTCTCATTTCTTTTTTATTTTTAATTTCTTGTTGATTTCCTTTTTAATTTTTTTTGGGTGAAATCTCGTTGACTTCTTTTCCCCTCCGGTCTTTGATATGTATCTTAGTATGCATGTGACTTTCATGCTTTACTGCATTTGTCTTTCTATCCAAATAAATAAACAAATGAAAGAAAAAAAATTAATTAACATATTCTTATAATTTTTCTCAATTTTAAACCAAGTTCTTGTAATTTATTTTGTTTACTCAAACCCTTATAATTTAATTTATTAAATTGATTAAATATATTGGTATCTTTAAAATTATTAATGAATCATTAACATTTTCAAAACAAAAATACTTTGATTTAATATTTATTTCCTTCGTTCAAAAATGTAAGGCATTTTTTAAAAAGTTAAATATTAAACAATGTAAAATATTTTTAATCTTTTGAAGTATAATTATTATCTTTTTTTAAAAAATATTTCTATTGATAATAACTTTATATTTATTACAAGGTATTTAATAGAGATAAATATAAAAATATAAAGTTAGTTGAAAAATAAGTAACTACTTTATTGAAAAGTAAAATTCATTTAAAAATACTTTAAATTTTTAAATAGAGGAAGTATGACTTAAAAAAATAAAAATTTATTTAATACAGTGTTTATTAAATTTTTTTTGAAAATTACATATATATATATATATATATTATTTATAAATCATAATCTAACAATATGAATTTCGAGTCATAAAAATTATATAATTAATTTTAAAGCTATAAAACCTTCAGTAAAAGTAGAAAGTTTTTCATTTCATTTTTTAAAATAAAAATTTTAACCTTCAAAAATTAACAAATTTAACATGTTAAAACTATAATGGCTCAATTAAAATAAAATAAATTACAAGAACCTAATTTTAATTAAATGAAGCTATAAAAATTTTCAAAATAAATACTAAAATAAGTAAAAACTTTACCCGCATAAGATACATTACTTGGCTTAATAAAAATTCCGAACTAGAAACAAACTGCTACGTGGAATAACACAGTTTATTGCTATTCATTTTAAGAGAATAGTGTTTCAATCAAGCCGAAAAAATTATTGATTACATATCTTTCCACTCAATATTCATAGCAATTAAAACTAACATAAAATAATTAATTTAATAAATGTCAGAAAAATCTTTCAAAGACAAAATTAATAATGCGTTCTACAACTAATGCCGAGAATCCTAGAAGCTGCCAGCCAACCACAATAAAATCCAGTGCTTTTCAAGGTTCAAAAATATATATTCATGCCATAAAGCGAAAGAGCATGATCCATCCAGCATTCATTTAAACAAACCAAAGGTTGAAAGAAAGATATATAATGCAAGTACTGAAATGAATTCCCTTACCAAGCCAAAAACCGACCAGAAGCTTGCTTCGCAGTTCAAATATTTGATAAAATTGAGTCAATAGCTGATTCAATGCAGCATTACATCGGCCATGACAGGGCAACCCCATTGGGACACAAATGAGCAGCTATGCTAAACGGACAAAATACCATTGTGAATCTATCTAATCTATACTTTATTTGCCAAGACATAGTACTTGTCGCAGACCTAAACGTTTGAAAATTCAATCTCTGGAACTTCAAAAACACAAGGCATATGTTATCAGTTTTTTTTTTTTTTTAAATCATTGTGAAGTGGCTTGTTTCAAGTATGCAATAAGGTCTGCACGATCCTGTGGCTTCTTTAAACCTGGAAACACCATCTTTGTCCCTGGAATATACTGCACATTTCAAGAATTGAGAAAAAGATAAATCAGTTTAATGCCGCAATGGGGGCAAAATTAGTCCAATGTAATCCCTTTGCATGGTACCACATGATTTGATAAAGCACAAGACCCTAGAAAATTCAAAATCCAACAAATGAAAATCGTAGACTCCAGGCTAAAGTTTAAATGATTAATTTTATGCAAAAGAGAAGAGCCCAAAAAGAACTCATACTCGGACATGCAATTGATAATTTATTCAGTTTTCTTTTTCTTTTTGAGAAAAAAAAATGCCAATTCAATTTGTACCTTTTTGGGGTTAAGCAAGTAATCATATAAAGCCTTTTCCTCCCAGATCACAGCCATGTTCTTGTTTGCAGCAGAATAGGAATATCCAGGAGTAGTGCCAGATTGCCTTCCGAATAAACCATTTAGATTGGGCCCTGAAATTATCAAGATTAAGACAGCAAGCTTTTACATTACAATAGTTCATGAAGATATAATACGGAGCAATACTGTTTTCTCTTTTGGTCTGCATAAAAGGAGAAAAGAACACGAACACCCGCCCCCGGGGGGGGGGTTGGAAGGTTTTTTTCAGGGCAATAAAGAAATAGTTCTTGGTCCAGTTTTTCTCCTCTCTATTTATCAGGCTCTTAACCGTCTAAATCATATTTAGATGATCTAAATTTAATACTTGGAAAAATTATAATAGACATGTCGATAACTCAGTATTCAAAAAGAAAACTTATTAGATCTGAATATCTGGAAAATAAAGAAGTTGAAATGCAGAGGAAAAGCAGAGAGGTGAGGAATAGAGAATCCGGCTTAAAAAAGTTCGATGCAGGAGAATGAATTAAAAAGCAATGATATTAAATTCAACCAGTAACCCGGTAATCCAGCCCCTAATCAATACAGACATTTAATTCAACTAGATTAGCAACCAAATCACTCAAAAACTGCTAAACCCGACAGGTTAATTAAATTGTCCATTTGAACCAGTTATCATTTAATAGAAGGACAGATGCCTTGACGGTGTACACCCAGAAGGATTGGAAGAAAAGAACAAAAGTCATCTTTCGAAAGCTTTTTCAGAAGACCAGAAGAATTTTCTCCGTTGGAAAGGCAAAGAACCAGGTTCTTAAGCGTCATGCATAGAAGAACATATTCCGATGATCATAATTACATAAACATAAAAATCAATCAACCAACTTAAATTAATTGCAGAAAATTCCCATCAACCAAGAACATTTAGCAACCTCACATGACCAAATAGAATTATAACCGAAAACAAGTTAACATGCCATGACACTTTCTTTGCCTTTGTCTTTATTTTTTAGAGTGGAAGATGAATAAACTCCTCAAAAATCTGGACAACAAGCGAATCTGGTTATCCAAAATAACGAACCAGATTGCAGAAACAAACAACAGACAAGAAGAGGACAGGCCTCACACATACCATGACACATTTTACAATCAACTTCCCGTAGAGAGAATGTTAGAATACATAGTAGTTCTAAAAATGCCACTATATTCCTTTCTTTAACTTCAAGATGTGTCACAGCCGGACACTAGATCTTCAATTCTACCTCGATTTGTCCGCAAATCAAACACCAACAGAACCAGAAGCCAGAATACCGATCTAGCATTGGATTATTTCTAGATCTAGGTCTCAATCAATACATAAACCCAAAAAAATATGAATAAACCAGAGATTGCAACAAAACCTGACTCAATCAGAGCAAGTGAAGAGGGAAAAACAATTGATTACCTTGCTTGTGGCCGGCACCTTTGTCGACGGTGTGGCACTGAGCGCACTTGGTTTTGAAGATTTTCTCGCCAGTCTGGGGATTGCCGGGAGGTGCCTCATCGAAAGAAGCCATTGCTGGAGGTGTGCGGCGGTGAGTTTGGCGGTGATTGGAGAGAGAAGCGAAAGGTTGGAGAATGAAAAGAAGAGGAGGGACGAAGAATAAGAGAGAATATGCGAGAGAGAGGATCTGGGGATGGTGGGGTGGGAGTGGAAGGAACTAGAGAGGACGATGCCACGCTCCTTCAAAGCCAGCCCTAAAATTTTCTGCCATTCATTCACGTGCCTCCTTTTTGGGCTTAGAACAGGAAGAACTTTCTTCAAACATGGAAGTGACCCCCAAAAAATGATCAATATTCAAAATCAAACTTGTTTTTTTTTTTAATTTGGCAAAACTTAAGTATTTAATTTTAGGGAAAGTATAGTTTTCATATATTTTTTGATCCGTGCACGTCTCTTAAATTTTATTTTTATTTGCATGTAACATTAGTCTTGATTATCACTAATGCTTTGTTTGTATGGAAAAAAAAAATATGGGAGAAAATTAAAAAGAAAATAAATTATCCTCTATTAGGTTGATGAAGGAAAGGTATTGGAAGCAAAAGTAAAAAAAAAAATAGAAAGTGAAATTTACGAAATTTTTTTCCTAAGTTTTCTCTAAAGTTAGGAATTCAAACAGGCTGGGATTATTTGGATTGAGCCTGAATAAACTCGACCTGAATAAGCTCGAATAGCCAAGCTTGACCTGAATTTCTTTCTGCTTCGGGCGGCCTGAATACCCAAATTTATATTTTTAAAATTATTTTTAATTAATTTTTTCACTTTAAAATTAATTATTTTATTTTATAAAAAATATAAAATATATTTTTTGATACTTAAATGATGTATAAGATTCAAATATATGGTATTTTAATATAAAATAACCTAAAAATTAATTAATTAACATTTATCATATTTAATATATTTTATAAAAATAAAATATTTTTATTCTCTTATTCGGGATCGGGCTTGGCCCGAATGTTTTAGTCCAAATAGGCCCGAACATAAAAAACTTATATTTTTTTAGGCTCGGCCCTAACTTTTTTTGGGTGGGTTCAGACTAGCCTATCAAACTCGGCCCGAATTACTAACTCTAGTTTTCTCCCACATATAAAGAGATTTTGGAAAAGAATTTATTCTTCCATATGTTCCTTTCTCTCTCTTGTTTTTTTTTACACTTTGTCAATTCTCTCTCCTACTCTTTTTTTTTTCTTTGCCAAAAGGTACGGTGCTTTACTGTATTGTATAAATAATTTATATTTAATTTTAATAAATTATCCATTTTTAATATTTTAAATAAGATAATAATTTATTTTTATTAAATTGTTTGATTTAAAATACTCAATAATATATTTTAATAAACAAATTAATTTTAATTTTTTTATGAAGTTCATTTTAATATAATGTTTCCTTTAACTTGTTTTTATAAAAATAAGTATATAAAAGATGACATATTTGGATATAAGGGTATTATAATTATTATACTATTTGCTCATTTCCTTTTCTTTTTGTTTTTTCCTGCTCATCCAAATAAAAGGAAAGATAATATTTTTTTTTTCTCAATCTTCTCTTCCTTTCATTTTCTTTCCTCTCTTTTTGTATGTTTATCCTAGCAATTGTATCTTCTTTTTTTTGAAATTTCATTGATTACCCATTTAAATATTTTTATTTAATGTTTTGATTTTTTTTTACTTTTTACTCATTTTTTATGCAACCCATCACAATTTTAACAAGTTAACACAATAAATAATAGAGTTTCTACACACGATAGGTGTCATCAAGTCTTAATGGTCATATTTAAAAATATAGGAACTTATGTTACATATTGATAAAACTTAAGACATTTAGAATAATGAAAAAAATATAGAGAGTAATATCAAAACACACAAAAATTATAGCGACCAGTAATTATATTTTTTTTAATTTTACGTGATTAAAAATACTTATTTTCATTTCAATCATAACAATCTTTTAAAGTTGAAGTTAATGAATTCTTTCTTCTTTAAAAAGACAAACTTCATAAAATTTATCGATTGTTAATTTTATAAGATCTAGTCGATTATCAAAGTAAGGTGGTAATAAAAAAAAAGGTAAAAGTATAAATCTTTCTTTGAAATATCACGTGAGAAGCATCATGTATCTTAAAGTAAAAAAAAGTGCAATGTTGGTCCCAATTTATTAAAAAGATAGTAATGTTACCTAATTTTAATAGACTCTAAACATTGACAATTAAGTTGACTTATTATGCCAAAGTGGCATACACATGTGGCATCCACCACTTCAAATCAAGACTGTGCACCTACCTAATTCTTTATTCCAACCTCTAAAACTAACCAAGGAAAAATCTTATCATCAACATTATCACGACTACCCTTAGCTTGATCACCTTCCTCGCCCTTATCCTCGTCATTGTCATTGGCCTCCTCATCCTTATCGTTTTCCTCATCGACTTCATTGGCATTTATTGGAACAAGCAGGGTTCCAACCATCGTCCTCGCTTGCACGTTCAAGTCGCCGCTTGTCCTCACCAATTTCTTGCCATTTAGCTCTGTCTAAGCTTGTTGATTTCTTGCTACCTTTGTCCACCTCATTGATTTCTTGCTATTTAGCTTTGTTACATTCAAGCTCACCGAGTTGTTGTTTAGATCCATCCAAGTTCGCCGCTCATCCTTGTCAATTTCTTGTTGATCATTCAAGATCGTCGAGTTCTTGCCATTTGTGCTTTTCTACTTTTGATTTGATTCCAATTTGGTCCTAGATTTGCTTTGTGACTTCTCACTACCATATTTGTTTGTTGAATATTTAGCCAATTTTAGTCCCCTTCTTGGAGTTGCAAAGATTATTTTCTTATAATGGTTTTTGATAATGATCTGTTCAATTCATTGTTATTTCAAATGTGTCTAAGAATAGTAATGAGGAATAAGGGAACAAATGAAGGAGTGAGGTGATGGTGGTGAAGGAAGGAGGCAACGGTTTTTTTTTTCAATGAACCGTATTTTTGACCCTTTTGTTGGCTACACCGGCGACAGATGTGTACAGCGACACCTGGTTTATTGGTAAAACGGCAAATGCAGAGGAGAACAGTGAGCTACTAAATTGCTCGAGTCGTGTCCGGATGAATACTGTCCTTAAGAACTATTCCGGTACACCTGGATGGTAGACCGGCAGTCCCTCAGGATTAAGCGAGCACTTCCTACGGCGGAGCAAGGAAACAGAACAGCGGAGGCTACGAGGGAAAACAGACGAACAGAAGACCAGAGGAGAAGACGAGAACCTTTCTATCTGTTCTGTCCGCACCAATGTCCATTTATAGGCTGAGGAATGAGACACAAACGTTAGGCTATAATTACCGGTTAATGCTTCGGTTATACACACATTAAACAACAAACGTTCATGGATTAATGCTTCAGTTACACGCCTTAAACAGCAGAAACGTGCACGTCCATTAATCCGAAAACGTTCAGCGTTCAATCTGGAGACGTTTGGTAGGCAAAATATTAACGCACAGGATTTCGATTTCCAGAAAACTGCCCAACGCCTCAAGTTCAATTTGAAAACAGCTAAATCAGAGGTTTTTCGGGTAAGCAAAAATAATTATTTATTTAACCATTTTTTGTAAAAATAACCCGGTAAAAGGAACCCAGTGCCTCTTGAATTCGCGCGCAAGGAGGGCGAATCGGCTGATTTCAACTGCGATTGCCCTGAGTTGGCCTGTCTCATGTGCGCGAGGCCACTTCTCCTTCAAGCCCATTTTACTAGCCCATTTCATTCCTTAGTATATATTCACTAGGAGATGTCTTCCTTTAGTCAATGTGGGACTTTGACACACACACACTTTTGACACACATACAACACCTTTATGGAAAGCTAGAAATCAAATACCCATATCTATTGATGGTGTCCATGTTGCAAGCTTCATTCCAAATATGAACTCAAGCGTGCATTCTTCCCTTCTCTCCATCTTTGTTCTAGATTTTCTACAAAAGCTAAGAACTCATCTTTTTAGCTATGAACATGTATTTTTTTAAAAAAAAAATGCCATATGGATCGCCAACTAAGCATTAATTAATTAAACTAACAGTCAACATTTGAGGTCTATTAAAATAGGGCAACATTGCTCTCCTTTTAATAGATTGAGAGTAACATTATACCTTTCATTACTTTAGGATAATTGATGCCCCTCGTGCGATGCTTTGAGGGTAGATTTGCACCTTTATCCTAAAAAATATTATTAGTATATTTTTTTGGCAAAAAAAAAAAAGATCATTAGTATATGTCTCTTTACGCACACAAAGGGATTAAAAGAATAATTATGTGCAATTTTTTTTATTAATGTTTACATGCTATTACAGATTTAGCACTATACAGAGGAAGAGAATTAATATTAATATCAACATCAATATTAATTGGGAGTGAAAAACAACCATTGGTCTCCATCAATAAAGGATGTGTTAAGGAAATTAGAAGCAACTGTATCATTTAATCTCCGCACATATGGTGCCCTCAAACTCATATTAGCCCCTGCTCCTGTACAGTTGTATTCTCCATAGAATATTGTCCTGCGTGAAATTTAAATTATATATCATTATATGTCACTTTTATATCAAATGTGACTTTTACAAAATAATATAATTTATACATCATCAATTAGATCAAACATGTCTAATTACACTAGTTATTGCTTGTTCTACTTTAAAAAAGAGCATAAAGATTGAGGCTTGCTACCATATTGCAATTGCAATGTCAATTAATTTATTGTATTTAAGGGTGTGCTTATTTAAGAAAATAAAAAATAAAAGTATGATAAGAGATTAAATAGAATGATTAATATGAAGTAAATTAATATTGAGGCTTTTGCAGATATATTCTATTACAGGACTAAACCAAGAAAATAGCACAACATTTATTATATTTTGTATTGTGATCAATTTATTATATTTGTCAATAATATACTATTGCATATTAATAAAAAAATCTTTATAAATTTTAAATTTTTTAATAATAAACTCTTTGTATATTAATGCAAATCGGTTAAATTCTCAAATTTTCACAACTTTGGTTCGTATTTTTTGGGTACAAGATTTTTTTTCTATCAATGAGCCAATTTATCCATTAATACGGGAAAATTCTTTTTTGGATGTAATGAAAGGGTAACAAAGAATCAATATAAAATACAAAGTCAATAACAAATTATACGACTTATAAAATATGAATGCAACTCACATCAAGCCTCCCTTGATACAAGGGGGCTCTGAGATCAATCTCCAACTTCAAATAGCTCGAAAAGGAGATTAAAATTCTGTGTGTAAGGTAGGTAGGTGATGTGTGTATTTAAAATTAATTATATTAAGATTAATGGACTGAAAAAATAATTTATAAAATTAAGAGATTAAATTAAAATCTTATATAAAGTTAGAGATTAAATATATCTTTCTACATACAATAAAATGATTCAGTTATGAATTTCAAATTAAATTTAGTGTTAACCACTATCATGATTCATGAGCATTACATACTTATTGCAGAGATAACATTTAGATCATCCATATTTAAAAATTTTTTTTTTTTAAAAAATAATAATCATAATATTATCTTGAGGACTTAAGTTCTCTCTTTTTTTTTTTTATAAAAGAACTTAAATTCTCTAAAATTGATATTCATGAATTTCTTTAAGGTTTACCTTTTTATGATATTTTTGTTTATTTTATTATTTTTTATAACAAATAAAAATTTTATCTCTTATTCTTAGAAAGGCATACTTCATAAAATTCACCGTAACTTCATAGTATCAATTTCATTTTCATATATATATATATATATATATATCAAGCTTAATAAAAATATAATCATAAAATAATATTAAATATAAAAAGTCCAATTTTCATATGAATGGTATAGATGATTATGAGAAATGAGAGAGGTAAACATTATGATGAATACTAAGGGCTGGTTTTTTTCTATTTTTTTAAATTTTTTTATTTTTAAAAATAAAAAATTTTAAAATTTTATTTAGATAACTGTTTTTCATTTAATTGTTTCCAAAACTATTTTAATCTTTTGTTTTTAAAAACAAAAAATAGAAATAACTTTAAATTGTTCTCATTTTATTTTTCTTATTTTTAAAATATAGTACATTTGAGTATTATAAATTATAGTTATCTTGACTAATTTCTATTATTAATCACTATCATTAACTGCCTATAGTTATCATTATCAGTCTATTTTTTAATTTTAAAATTATTTTTTAATTGATATAACCAAATAAACTTTTATTTTATTTTGTTTTAAAAATAATTTTAAAAACTATATTATAAAATAATTTTTAAAAATAAAAAAATGAGAATAAAAATCAAACAGGTCCAAATCTTTTTTCCCTCCTCTAGTTTTGGGCATAATAGAACTTACTGATCTCTTGCAGGGTCATTGAAGTCGTTCCAACCTTCGGGGGCGATGATATCAGACATCGTCGTAAAAGCAAAAACGACACGAGAATAAGGACGCCAAGCCCGACCCAACAATATTCTTCCGTAGCCTCCTATGCTACAGTTCACAAAAGCAAAGCCCGTGTTTTCGTCGTTTGTTGTTCTCCCATGCGCTGTAACGGCGCCGTTTATGAACTTTTGTCCTGCCGGTACTGGGTTCGCCATTGACACTATTTGACAATTCTGTGCATTTTAATTTTATTTATATCAAAATATACATGTCAACTTCAAAATTGATACTGTTGTTTTCATACTCTTGTAATTAAGATAATGTCATGGAGGAGTCATTGAGCACTTGTATCTTATACGTACAAGTCAAGTTGACTTTTTGTTTAATTTAAATTGACTCAATATTAGTGTTATAAAAATCATACCAGTCGGTTCAACAGGTGATAAATCTAGTTCGGTTATATCTTAAAATCTTCTAGCCAAAGAATCGATCAAAAATCAATTAAATCTGTCAAAACTGATAGATAAACTGGTTGAGCCAATCCTGTTATTTTTTTAATATTTAATTTATATTTATAAACTACAATTTACACATGTTTATGCCTAATAAGCATTAATAAATGAAAAAAATGAACAAACATGCAAGAAATAAGTATTGAATATGCATATTTGTATATATTTTAAAATTATAAATTATGAAATAAGCGTACATATTTTGGATTAAAATCATGAAATAATGATAGATATCATTTTTTTATTTTATATTATTTTGATTGAAATTAAAAAATTCATTTGTATTATTATATGTAATTATATCCTTTTATTTTAAATATGTATTATTTAAAATATATTAATTCATTCACAACTTAGTTGAATCATGGTTCAAATTATAGTCAAACTATTGAATCATGAATCAATACTTTATGTGAGTTTAATGACTAGTATTGTTTTCTTAACATTGCTCTCTCTCTCTCTCTCTCTCTCTCTCTATATATATATATATATATATATATATCATATATATATATATATATATATCATCAAGTGAGATTGATTGATTGAATTAGTTGAAGGTGAAATGTGAATACCTCATAGAGAGACCTTGCATTGCCAAAGATGAAATCAATAGAGCCCTGGATATAGCAATCTCTGAAGTAATGGCGACCTTTATCATCGTGAAGAGTATCTTGAGCTCCAAAAAAGCCACATCCCCAGAACTGAGCTTCATCTCCTCCAACTCTTATTGCCACTGCTTGTGCTCCTTCCACTCCTGGACCTGGAATTGGTGCCACATTCTGCATGTTTTTTCAACCAAACATTGATTAATTGCTGAACTGCCTAACATTAGTGGTATTTAAATAGTTGAAAATACTCTCTCCATAAAAAAATGTAAGATATTTTTAACTAAACTTTACCCTTAATAAATTAATTAATTATATTTCAATTAACACTATCTTTTCATATATATCCTTGTTTAATAGGGTGTTTTACTTAAAAATAAATATAAAATTATTTATTTATTTATTAAAGGGGCACTATTGAAAAAAATATTAATTGCATTTTAAAACATTATAAACGTCTTATAGTTTTTAGTATCTATAATTTAACTTTTTAAAAATTACTTTATATTTTTTTAATAATGAGGTATCTATTTACACATACAAAGTTAGAGGTTAATTAAATTAATCAAAGTAAAGTACATGTTGTTGAAGTTAAGATTGTGATTGACGTGATGTTGAGTATAGCATGTAGCTTAATTTCTTTTTCCCCCTTGTTAAAGAGTAATTTTTTATTTGGAAATGTTTTGGAAACCATGATGGTTCCAACAAGAATTTTAGTGCAGATATTATCTTTTCTTAATAGTTAATATTAAATATGAGTTTGATTTTCAGTTTTATTAAAAAGTTCGTTTGTCAAAGTTGATTTGACTAAAATCAATTTGGTAACAATCATCTTTTGTAATGAAATTTGTCTTTAAATACATCTTTTTAAAATTATTCTTAAAAAGTTTTTTTGAATATACTACTTTCATTAAAAAATATAAGGTATTTTTAATCAAATTTTACCTTTTAATAAAGTAGTTATTTATTTTTAAATTAATCTTATCTTACCATATTTACTCTTATTAAATACCCTACAATAAATATAAAATTATTCATCAATAGGGATACTTTTTTTTTAAAGTAATGATTACACTTTAAAATATTAAAAATACCTTACATTTTTAAACACCCAACTCTTTAAAAAATATTTTATATTTTTAAATGGAGGGAGTATTTTTTTTTTTTTTCAAATATAGAATGCCCCACCTCCATCTTATTCATATTGAGAGAAAGTTATCTTATAGGATTGTATGGACAATGATTTACTTTCAGCCTTTGAAAACAACTTTTCTGAATTTAGAAAGTTAAAAATTGTTTATTCGTTAAAAAATCTTTTGTGCATGTTTCGTTTTCTGTATTAAAAAAAAAAACGCATTCAAAAAAGTCTTAAAATTAAAGTTCGTTTGAAAAAAATTCATGAGAATTAAGTCAACATGAGTCAAAAGGCCTGTTGACTTTGATTATTAATTAACTTAATATTAATGGTTAAAAAAGATAATATTGTATTAGTTTTAAATATTCGATTCATATTTTTTTCAGGATCTTCACAACTCTTTTAAGAGTATTCATGCAAAAATGTACTCAGCTTTAACTATTTCAAATTAAACCACCTAACATGAGTAGTACTAAATCATCCAAATACCAATTTCTACAAAATTAGTGGTTAAAAAATTAATTAAAGCAGAAATTGTGAAAATTAACTTCGGATGGATGTGCGATGTAAAGTACCATAAAGCTTATGTTTTTGGCAATGAAATTGGAGGCGAAGACTTGGACGGAGCCGCTATAGAATGTGCCGTTTGCTGACTTGGCAGTGTCGTTCCATGCAATCGCCGTTGAAGTGTAGCCTTGCCCTTGAAATGTGATGTTTGGTTTGGTTATAGGCACCATCACTTTCTCACTATTCAAAATAAACTACATGAGAAATTTTAATCATGTCATGGTCTTACTAAAATTTATATATTTTATGATTATGCCTCATAGTTTTTGGAAGACTCCAAACTCATAAATTTAATCTAAGCATTATTTTTCAAATTAAGACACGTTATTTTTACATTGTAAAAAAATAAAATCAAACCACACTATTGATAATTATTAGTAAGCAGTATAATGTATTATAAATTTTATATTTTATATGAAATATTAAATGATAGCCCCATATTTATAATTACCTCATATTCTGAATTTTTTTGCGATATCAAATTTCCATCATTCAAATTTGATTTAAGAGAGTTTAAATTTTGCTATTTTTTTATATTTTAATTTTTTATCATCTATATAACATACTCGGTAAAATGTAATATAAATTATTTAATGATATTTTAACATTAATACCGATATTTAAATATAAAATCTACAAGAAACAATATTATTCAGAAGTAAAATGCTCTTTTTTTTAAAAAAAATTGTTAATGTTATCTTTTCAAACTATGAGTCTCCAATCTCCGTCAGTATATGATAAGTCAATCATTTGAAATTTTTGTCGATTGTAACTTATTACATTTTTTTATTTTGTTATTTCGTAGGATATAGGTTTTAATTTTTATGTTTTATATATAAAAATACTTGCGTGAATATATAAACTCAATATAAAAAAAAAAAAACTTACTAATAAAGGCCACTATTAATCCAAATGATGTTTCGTTTATTGCTGTTGTCTGGGACAGCATTTACGGCTGCTTGCACGGTGGTGAAATTGCAGCACCCTCGTCGATCCACACACAGATACGTCGTCGTATTGGTATTCTCCGGCGGAATCCCCGGCGGGAAATCATCGCATAAATTGCTAATAATATCACCGCTGCTGCTATCATCAGGTCGTCGTTTCTTGTGGTGGTGGTGGTGGTGATGAGGACGACGATGACTCGAAGAGAACGACGACAATAAATCGCACATAAACGACTGCTTGTTTGGATTACTATCATCAATGACAATGAAATATGCAAGAACTGCAATAATGGGAATCACCAGCAAAGCTATGGAGTTTCTCTGCAGAAACATTTTCTGGGTATCATATAGATGAAGAAGATGAAGATGAAGACTATGGTGAATGAAGTTGAAGATTATGTATGTGTATATATATTTGTCCACATACTTATACGAGTCTGAGAGAGATTATCAAGTGATGAACTTGAAGTGAAAGGGTTGATGGCATGTCTTGCAAAGGACATGACTAGGATTGTTACTTGTAAGCATTTATATACGTTTGTTCCTTTGCTTTTGTTACTTTCTCCAATATATACACACACAAACATATAAATAATTTAAAAAAAAATCTGAGTTTGTTACATATGAAGTACTTAGCATGTACCTTGTGTTTTAAACTATGAAATGTTATCATATATAGTATAATAAGCGGTTGGTAGCTAGTTACCATACTTTAAAGTTATCTGTATCTAACTTGACCATTTCCAATAAGAAAACAATATTATATATGTTCTTTTTCCTACAAAAAAGCAGTTGGTATTTGTCTAAACAATCATAACCATAGCGTAATATATCTGATTGAGTTATATTAGAGGGAAAATGTCACCTAAGGACCCTGTAGCTTTTTAGTATCAAAGAATGACCTTAGAAATATAAAATATCACTGCATCCCTTAGCACATATCTAAACATAAGATTTTGAGAAGAAAGATCTAATTACCCTTATAGCATTTTTGAAATCTTATTTCGATATAAACAATAAAGCATTAGGCTATCAACAAGTTACCATATGTAATTAAATAGTGAGCATTCATTCATAAACAAGTTACAAAAATTTATAGGCATAATTTATTGTTTATAGCCAAATAATAACTTTTTAATAGTTGAATGCTTTGTTGTTTATATTGATGTACAACAACAACAACAACAACAACAACAAGCCTTTATCTCACTAAGTGGGGTCAGCTACATGGATTGCAAGACGCCATTATGTTCTATCATTTATCAAGCTTTTAGAAATATTATTAATTAAGAGATCGCGTTCAACAACTTCCAAGAGTGTTTTCTTAGACCTTCCTCTACCTCTCTTAATCGGACTCAAAGTTATATGTTTCACTCTTCTCACTGGTGCCTCCCTTGGTCTTCTTTGTACATGCCCAAACCATCTCAACCGATTTTCTACCATTTTTTCCTCAATAGGTGCTACCCTCACTTTTTCGCGTACTTGCTCATTTCAAATTTTATCTTCACGTGTATGTCCGCACATCAATCGTAACATTCTCATCTCTGCTACTCTAACTTTATGCTCTTGCTGTCCCGTTAGAGCCCAGCATTCACTACTATATAACATTGCCGGTCTGATAGCAGTGCGATAAAACTTTCCTTTAAGTTTATTAGGCACCTTACGGTCGCAAATAACTCCTTTAGCTTTTCTCCAATTAAACCACCCAGCTTGAATTCTATGTGAAATATCTCCACTGATTTCGCCATCATTTTGAATAATGGCTCTCAAATATCTAAACTTTTTCACTTGAGGTATAATTTGATCTCCCAATTTCACTTCCAAATTATTGTCGAATAGTTCTTTACCAAATTTACAATATAAATATTCTGTCTTACTTTTACTGAGATGAAAACCTTTCGACTCCAATGTCCTCCTCCATAACTTAAGTTTGCAATTAACTTCTTCTCTTATCTCTGCTATAAGAACTATATCATCCACGAAGAGCATACATTTCGGAATTTCCTCTTGAATATGTTCCGTCAAAATATTTAAGATCAAGTTGAACAAATAAGGACTCAGAGATGATCCCTGATGTAGTCCAATCTTTATAAGAAAATCCTTTGTTTGACCACTAGGCGTTCTTATACTAGTTTTTACCCCCTCATACATATCTTGTATGGCTTTAATATAAGCAATCCGTACTCTCTTTTTTTCCAATGCTTTCCAAAGCACTTCTTTTGGTATACGGTCATAAGCTTTTTCCAAATCAATAAAAACCATGTGTAGATCTTTATCTTTACAACAATATTTTTCCATTAATCCCCTTAGTAGATAAATCGCCTCTGTAGTTGATCTACCTGGCATAAAACCAAATTGATTCTCAGAAATACTTGTCTCCAATCTCAACTTGTGCTCAATTACTTTCTCCCACAATTTCATTGTGTGGCTCATGAGTTTAATCCCTTTATAGTTAGTACAATTCTGAATATCTCCTTTATTTTTATAAATAGGAATTAATGTACTTCTCCTCCACTCATCAGGTATTTTCTTGAACCGTAAAATCACATTAAATAACTTAGTTAACCATCTCACCCCTTCTTCACCTAAATATTTCCACGCTTCGATAGATATACAATCAGGTCCATTAGCTCTACCATTTGCCATTTTCTTAAGAGCTTCCTTTACCTCCTTATCACGTATTATTCGATAGAATGACAAATTTTGTTCTCCTTCACCAGTTACTAAATCCTCCAAGTTATTAGATGAATCCTCTCCATCATTGAAAAGTTTAGAAAAGTAAGTCTCCCATCTATTTTTAATTTCATCATCTGTAACTAAAATTCTTCCCTCTTCATCCTTAATACACCTTACCTGTTCTAGATCTCTTGATTTTCTTTCCCTACTCTTGGCAATCTTATAAATATTTCGCTCTCCTTTCTTCGTCTCAAGGCTCTTATAAAATTCTTTAAAAGCTTTAGAACAAGCTTCACCCACAGCTCTCTTAATTTTCTTCTTAGCCATACGGTACCTCTCCTAATTTTCCTCATTGTTACACAAATATATGGCTTTAAAACCGTTCTTCTTATACTTGATTTTGTCCTGTACACTATTATTCTACCACCAAGACTCCTTATCTCTCGGACCAGAACCTTTTGATTCTCCCAAAACTACTTTTGCAACCTCCCATATCTTTTTAACCATATCCTTCCATATGATGTTAGCACTTCCCTGAGATTCCTAAATTCCTTTATCCAAAAGATTTGGCTTGAAAATATCTTACTTCTCACCTTTTAATTGCCACCACCTCATCCTTGGTGCTACTACGTATCGATGTTTTTGAATTTTACTCATAATACACACATCAAGGACTAGGACCTTATGTTGTGTCGTTACAGCATCTCCGGGGATCACCTTATAATTTTTACAAAGTCTTCTATCTGTGTTCCTATTCAAAAGAAAATCAATCTGTGACCTTGAGGTTCCACTTTTTTAAGTGATGAGATGCTCATCTCTCTTCTTGGAACAAGTGTTGGCAATCTTAAAATCATACGCCAATGAGAAATCAAGAAGAGTTTGTCCTTCATTGTTTAGCTCTCCAAAACCAAAACCACCATGCACCCTCGTATACTGACCAGCTTCCCTCTCAACATGCCTATTAAAGTCTCCTCCAATAAAAATCTTTTCACTCTGTGATATGTGTCGAATCAACCCCTCCAGATCCTCCCAAAATAATTTCTTAAGACTGGCTTCTGTCCCGACTTGCGGCGTATAAGCGCTAACAATATTAACAGTCTCACGTCCAATTATCATTTTTAAGAAAATAATTCTGTCTCCAATTCTGCTAACTTCTACAACGTTCTTCTTCCACTCCTTATCTATAATGATGCCTACTCCATTGCGTGCACTTACTTTTCCTGTATACCAAAGTTTAAAACCTTAAATATCTTTAGTTTCTTCTCCACGCCATTTTGTTTCTTGTAGGCAAAGGATATTGATTTTCCTTTGAATCATAACCCCTACAACCTCTACAGATTTACAATTTAATGTCCCAACATTCCAAGTACCAAATCTAATTTTGCTCTTATGGACTAACTTCTTTAGCCGCGTGCGTCCAAAATGATGCGGTAGCCCTTGCTCATTTAACACTACATTCGGGCGCCGATGCAGCGGCTCTAACTCACTTATCACTGTACTCGAGCCATGCAGCGCGTTACTTACGAGCAACGACCTAGTATTAACATTATAACGTCTATTGTCCATGTTCATGATAGATTGAACAAAGTGTTACATTGGCTGTTGTTTATATTGATGTAAGACTTGTAAAATTTAATTAGGCATATTAGTTTTTATAATTTGTTCATAAATGAATGTTCGCTTATTAGTTATATATAATAATTGTTAATAATCAAATGTTTTATTATTTATGCTAGAGCAAAACTTGTAAAATTAGATCAAGCTTATCATTTTTATAACTTGTTCGTGAATGAATATCTGTTTGTTAATTATGTATGATAACTTATCAATAACTGAATGCTTTGTTATTTATATTGGAGCCAAACTTGTACTTTCTCCAATTCAAAATATAAACATTCATCTTTAGCTAATTTTAGTTCAAAATATAAGTAACCTAATACATGTGAATTTTTTTATCATTTTATCCCTTTTATTTATTAATCTAGATATTTGTATGAGTATATCTCACACTTATCATAAGGTACTTTGGTAATTTGAACTAGGGGTAAAAAAGAAAAACAATATATATATATTTTAGGAATAGAGACCTTATTGGTATGCGAGCTTTTCTTTAAAGCTGCTTATATTTTGAACTAGAGGGAGTAAAACATTACAAGGATAATTGTATCTTTTCTCTCAAAATATTATTTTTAGATACTCCTTTTGGTCCTTATTATAAGACATTTTTAACCGTTTCACGCATATTAAAAAAAGTTAGTTTTTTTTCTTGATATCATAAAAAAGTGAGATATTTTTTTATTTTTATCCTTGACTTTGAATAATAATGCACCTACATTATATACCTTCACGCTAATCAAAAAGAGGCAAAATTAAAAAAAAAGTGGCATAATTATTATAAAGTGTCCTATATTTTGGATCAAAAATTACTTTTAGAAAGTGTTTTATAAATAAAACTAGATGGGGTAGGACCTAGGGGTGCAATGATATTTTAGAATTTAGATTTTTAGAGTCATTCTTTTATATTAAAACTCTAAAAAGATCCTTAAATGATATTTTTCTTATTATATAATCCCAATCTTATAATTTATGTGTTTGCCATATATTTCACGTGTTGTTTTTTAAATTAGTATATTGCTTCACCTGTTTGAAAAAATTTCTCCTTTCCAGTTATATCCTTGTTAATGAGATGAGGTTTTGTTTTATTATGTTGTGTAGGGAATGAGGA